GGGCCAGCCACTCCACACATGCCAATCACTTATACGCACCTGCATGACAACCGTTCAGCCCACCCTCCTCCACAAAGCATCCTGACCCCCCTCCGCACCAAGGAGTTTGGGACTTGAGGATCAAAACACGGGCCATCTCTTAAACTTTATGATTGCAGACTTTCTGTTCAGGCTAAATTAATGATACTGTTTAAAGGCACACTGTTAAAAAGCACACCAGATTTTTTTTTCTTTTCTTTTTCTTTTCTTTCTGCCCACTGATTCTTTTTTTTCTTTTTCTTTTCTTTCTGCCCACTGATTTTCTCTGTGACAATGTCAGTATATAGGTCCCGATCAGACTTCTGCTAAAGGTCGGTGAGAACTCATCTCTGGGCCCTTGGCGAAGATCAGAACCAGTGCTATACGATGAGAGAGAACAGAGCAAGTGCCTCTGTTCGACCTTCTGTTTGACTTCCTGTCTGTAATAGAATATATGCACACGGAGGGAAGGAGGCAGGGAAGAACTGTGAATGAAAGAGGAGGAAAAGAAGCAGCCAGTGGCATGGTGGCTAAGGTGGCTGGATCCCACGTGGCAGACTGAACAGTTCGACTCCTGGATGGAGAAGATTGTGACCATTCCCCATGAGGGTTTTCTCTCTCTCCGTCTCTCCCTCCTCAGTGTGTGCATGCACCTTCTAACAAATTTTAAAAGGGAAAGGAAAAGATAAGGGGAGGAAGGAATGATGAAAGAAGAGGAAAAGACGCTAGTTCGTTTACTCTGGTACTCCACATGTATACCATTATATATAAGCATAATGTGTTCTACCTTGTAAGTCTAAATCTCACACCTGGTACGTGAGCATACCTCTCTTTCTGACCCGCACACCTGCCGCTGGACAGCTGGTATCGCAAGCTCCCAAAGACAGACCCTCCCCTTGACTTTGTGTGGACACACACACACACACACACACACACACACGCAGTTCCCCCAAAGTCCAGCAACATCCTCGCCTGTGGCCACACAGGAGCAGAGGGACATCTACGTGGTACTAAAGCACACACCCACCCTTCGCTCCAACCGGTGGGGTTCCAGAAGGGGCCTGCGTCCTAGCCCCACAGGCGGCGCAGAAAGGACAGGGGAGGTTCGGCTGGCGCCTCTGGCCTCTTCTCAGCGATCCTCTCCTCCGCCCGTTCCCGCCCAGTCACTTGGAGAGCGCAAGGGACAGGCCAGGCCGAGGAGCCTCGGTTCAGGAACACGCGTTTCTGGGCTGGTTTTCCCAAAGCCACCCGCAGCCCTCCCCACCCCACCCTGGCCCAGCCCCCTCTCCGCCTCGCCCCTCCCCCAGCCCTGAGCTAGAAGTTTAGCCCCAAGACAGCCGCAAAGGGCAGCAGAGAAGTCGTTTTCTTTCACCTGGAAGCCGAGAGGGGGCTTGGAGCGCCTCTTCTTGCTGGGACCCGAGCTCGCTGAACACCGGCCCGGCCACGGCGGACTCGACCCGGGCCCTTGGCATCTCCCAGCGTGGTCGCAACGCCAGCACCCGCAGATCTCAAGGGCTCGTGAGAGTGTGAGCCCGGCTGTCCTCCGGGCCCGGGGCTCGCCGCGCGGGGGCAGGCCGGTCCGGGCAGTGCAGGGCGTTCACAAAAAGTGACTTGGAGATGAACTCGCCCGTGCGCCGCTGGCCGCCCCGCTATAGGGGCGAAGGCGCCTGACGCAAGCGGAACTCGGCGGAGCCCATACGAATCAGAACAGAGCGAGGCTCCTGGCGCACCAGGGACTCCAGGAGGCAGCTCCGCCAGAGACGCGGGTCGAGCCTCGGGAAATCGGGGGGGGGGGGGAGGGGGAGCGCACAGCACAAACCCCACCGAGGCGGGGGGTGGG